TCTATTCTCCATGCTCCACGCTCCTCCAATATTACCATTTACCTTTACTAGGAACAACATTCATCGATCGTCAAGCATCAATCAAATCAGCACAAATAATACGTACCTACTACTATCTACCCACACCCACAATTCGATCATTCTGGATCTTCCAATAACCATGGATAATTGACTAACACAACATATTCTGTTTTAGAAAACATTAGTAGTGATAACTGTTTTTAACAATTCTATTATTTTCATTACAGGTAAGTTAAAATGTGAATTTCTTTCAAATTCACCATCTATCTTTCCCTTTGACCCTTTGACGCTCCGTTCCGGCCTTCTGATTGAACGAGGCGAGGTATTTTTAGGGCGTTACTTTTTTAGTCACTAATCCTAATCTTACATTAGCGCACAATTCAGGTGAAGAGAGACTCCGAGACTTGTCAAAACAATTTGGGACATCAACAGCGCGCGTCGATAGGTAAGACCTTGCCTTTCATTCCTTTCATTCTTATCCTTTCTTATGTTATAAAGATGTCACGAGACATATTACAATTATTGATGCGCATATTGATTGAGAATTGTTGATGCTGTTGATCATAAGTTGATGAAGCAATCGTTTTCCCCCTTTGCTCCATTTGACCCATCAGCGCGTCGCGACATCATCGCGCCAGTTTCTATCTCTTATTTTTGCATCTCTACCCTCGCCCTAATGGATTTCAATGGATCCTAACCTAACTTTGATGATCGCTGACACTTGTGCGCATTCGCAGATGGGTTGCCACTACTATCATCCACAGACATGAGCTCCTGGATGAACGACGCTGCCGTCCAAAATCATAATGGCGCAGGCTTTAATCACATTAATGAATCGAATCCTGGAGGAAATATGATGGACCCATCGGGTTTTATGTCCACTTCATCATCCTTTGATCCCAATCAGTTCCAGAATCAACAATTACAACAAAGAATGCAAAATGGTGGAATGCGCAATGGATCGCCAGCTTTCAATAACCCTGTGTATCAGACCAATCCTGTGATTCCATCAAAGAGACCAAGGCCAAGGGAAGATAGTTTAGGTACATCACCGAGGCAAGCTTCTGGCATGTTACCAAACTCTCGCTCACACACTCCACAACAAGCTGCTTATCCCGGGTTTCAACCTAATAATGTCCTTCCACAACATGCGCCTCAACAGAATCCATATTCACATCTACAAAATGGTTCAAGCAATGCCAGTCCGTCTCCTATCATGGCTAACCAGCTACGTCCTGGCGGTGTACCACAACGAGTTTCTACAGCTTCTCCTCATCCATTCTCACCTTCACAATCCGACCATGGAAGCAGAGTCGATACACCACAAAGTAGTACATTCGCTCAGAACACTCCATATGCACCTGCATACAGTCAAAATTTTACTCCCCCACCTGGACGAACTTCGGCACCACCGCAAGGCGTGATGTCAACACCACAGATGCCACCTACAATGTCACAACCTCAAATGTATAATCAGCAGGTCCCACCACCGAACCATCAGTCGCAGCAGAAGACATCTTTGGATCAAACTAGGCAAATGTACCAGATGCGACTACAACAGTCACTCCAGCAGCAACAGCAACAGAGCAATTTACATGCTGCGCAACGACAAAACATGTCACCCAGTGTGAATCCATTATCTCAAGGGCAAATGATGCAAGCACCAAATGGCCAATTTACTGGCATGCGACCTCAGCAGCCTTCATTGGCCCAAAATCAAAACCAGAACAATTTCCTCAAAAGCTTGGCTACATTCATGCAGTCAAAAGGTCTTCCTTTAGAGACAAATCCGTTCGTGGGTGATCGACATATCAATATTTTTGTGTTGTATATGGCAGTTACCAAATACGGAGGCTACAGGAATGTCACAACACAAAATGCATGGGGACAAATTGCGCAAGCCATTCAAATACATCCTTTGAGATACCCAAATGTGCCTCCGCAACTTAAAGCTTTGTATGAGAGAAACCTCCTTGCGTTCGAGGAGGCTATCAACTCAAATATGCAACGGCAAAGAGCAGCCGCAATGAAACAGGGCGGCGGCATCGGGGTGCCCCAAATGTCGCCCACTAAACAAATGCCTCCAGCGAACTCTATGCAAGCGTCACACTATATGCAACAGCAAATGGCCCAGCAGCAACATCTTCAGCAACAACAAACTACTCCTATGAAGCAAATCACTCCTTTACATCATAGTCAACAACCTGTCATGAACGGTTTCTCAACACCACAAGCCCCACAGGTACATCCGCTAGGGTCTCAGAGCCATGCTCGAGATAGCCTGTCGAGGAGCGTTGAGGCTACGCCACCGCAAAACAATGGTGTCTACCCGATACCGTCTCCAGCCTCGGTGCCAAAATCTGGTAGTATATCGTTGGCATCACCTCATCCTAACATAGTACCGGCATTAGATGAGCAAATCCAAGATGAACTAATGAATGTTGTCCTCCCAGAGAAACTGAAGATCTTTTCGCGGGTTCCTGATGACAACGGCGGCTGCCTTGGTCTACCGACTCTTCGTGATACCGGAACTCAATTGTTGAAACTGAAGCCGGATTTTCCACCACTGACTGAGATTGGTACCATTGACGTCCATGCCTTAACCATGAGTCTCCAATCGGGACTGCATGCCGAAGTTCGTCTGGCTTTAGATACTCTGGCGCTTGTATCCTCGGAACAGCGCCTACCTATGGAGTTGAGGTATTGTGACGATCTAGTCGAGACACTTGTTGATTGCGCCGAGGAGCAAGTTGAATTATTGGCCGAGAACGCAGCAGAGGTGTCGGATATGATGCTCATAAATTCATACGAAGATGTTGTCCGCGCCTGCCAGGCTGAGAAGGAAAGCCTCCAAGATATTCCACCGTTTGGATCAGAAGAGTACCAGGTAGACCGAGCTGTCGAGAAGTTAATTTGCATAACCAGCATTATGCGAAACCTTTCATTTCATGAACCGAATCTTTTGTTCCTTGCAGAGGAGTTTGTTATCAAATTCTTCTGTGTGGTAATAAGATATCTAGGAACTCGAAATATGCTACTCAGGACGAATCAAAACACGCTAGAATTTATGAAAGATGGCGTTGTTTTATTATCAAATATCGCACATGAGATCAAGCTACCTGGTCGCGAACAGGCATTATGTTTACTGCATTTCATCTTAGCATTCGCCCCTTGCCCGCCTCCAAACACAATGGGATCTGATAAAATCACATTCTCGCAGTACGAGCCAACTATCCATTATTATATCTATCCGGCTATCGACAGTCTTGCTAAGCTTCTTGCGCGGGACGAACCAAACCGAACGCATTACAAAACGATTTTTGCCTCTGACGTGTCTTCCTCCCCACCTTTCGACCTTCTGACAAGGACATTCGCCCTGTCTATTTCGGTGATACCTGACCAGCAGAAGGATCCTAAACGGGGAACGTTCCTACCTTTGGTGGAAGCACGAAAACCAATGTTGATGCAAGGCATACTGGCCGCAGAACTGCTCGCAAATCTTGCACCAGGGTATGACAGTGGCATTGCGAAAGCCTGGTTGACTTCAGAGGATGGCTTTGCAAAGAATCTTTCGCACCTTGTATTAACATTATGCCACGAAGCTCCACAGGGTCCTTCGCACGGTAGAGTTTCTGCCGTACCCAAAACGACTGAGGAAGAGGCAATGTTACATATCATTCTTGGTGGCATTGGAATATTACGTCGACTGGCTGAGAAGTCACGAGACCCTGAAGACCCGACCTCTATGATACCCATACCTGGAATGCCAACGACGGAACGAATAATAAAACTACATGAACGCAAGCAGCCTAGGCTGAAGGAGGCATTGCGACAATTGTGCACTTTTACAAGTCTTGGCTAATGAGCGATTGGGTTTTCATAAATGTACTAAGGTTCATAGACGCATGAATCAATAGCGTATGGAGTCGGCGTTTGTAATTTGATATATCTGCCTACTCAGCGTGGCATTTGCTTGACGTGTGTGATTCTTGTGGTATGGTTGGTATTTGTTTTTTTGTGTACAAGGGATGATGTTTCTCTTGAAAAGCAAGAGTGTATTGTACATATAGGCATGATTCTGTAGAATGATAGTCAAAGCAAAACATTGCTTTGGAAACACAACGAAACCAGCATGAATTCTTAGTCGTCCACATAATGTGTTGCAAGTATTCCATTAAAAGTGTCGCTCCTTCAGGAATCGCTTCACTTCCGATGTGCAAGACCCCTGTGATGTAGTTAGATTACTGATGGAATTAGACCCGTCAAAGGCTGTTCTGCATACGTACCTTGATTATGATTTGCTTCGTCAATTGGTTAACGCGGACCTCCTTATTGAAGAGTGCCTCTTCTAATTGCTCCTTCAACTTCATAATATCTCCCTCTATCTTTCTAATTATTGTCTGCTTTAAGTTACCACCTGCTTTGACACGTGCATATACTGGCAGGTGTTTCGAAGGTGTTCGAGCTACATGGTACAGTTGATTTGGGGCTTCCGCAGATGTAATTTGTGGAGTAGGCGTTGAGGTTGAGGTCGAGGTTGAACTGGAGGAGGTGGAGGTGAAGTTTGTAGATAGCCTAGCGACACCGAGGAAATATCGTAAGTGGTTGATCTGGGCAGACCCATTGGTCTAAGGAACTGGAGTGACATCGTAGAGGATATGTGGTTGTAAAAATTATTTGATTTCTCAATCAACTTCAAAACTTCATACGGAATCGCGAACTTTCTCTCAGACCAAAAAGACGCTAATGATTTAAGCTACCCTCCACTAGCGCGAAATTTTGTAGGCGGGCGCACACAATCCAGCAAATTCCGACATCTTTATCCAGCGAAAGTGTGAACCCCACCACTATTTCCAACTCACGACAGCACAATAGGATCGCAATCATGGCGGACAACACTCCCACGACTGCGAATGACTTTCTTAACGGTGCTGCTCAAGTAGCCAAAAGCCCCGAAGAAATTGCCAAAGAGAACGATCTACTTCCTAAACTCATTACCCACCTCGACAGACATTTAATCTTCCCTTTGCTACAGTTTGTTGCAGATCAAGATGAGGAGCCATCGCCAGAAATCACAAAGGCAAAATTTGAGTTGTTGAAGAAGACCAACATGACGGATTATGTAGCAAGTTTATATTGCGAAATCGAAGGGGTTGAGGAACCACCAAAGGAATACGCGACCAAGAGACAAGAAATTCTTCAACGATTAGAAATTTTCGGACAAGAGAGTGAGAAGATCACCGATTTGTTAGGCCGAGAGGATGTCGTTACTGGACTGAGAAGCGATAAGGTTGCTAACTTGGAGTTCTTGAAGAAGGAGCATGATGTACGTGTTTGGAATTTTGTTCAACTGAAAATTCAATCTAACCATGAAATAGGTCACGATTGATATGGTTAACGTCTTATATGACTTCGGAAACTTCCAATACAGTTGTGGAAATTACGGAGCAGCTGCCGAACTCCTTTACCAATTCAGAGTTCTCTCTACCGATGACGATAAAGTTACTGCAGCAACATGGGGTAAATTGGCTTGTGAGATCTTGACTGGAAACTGGGAGTCCGCTATGGAGGAAGTCCAAAAGGTCAAGGAATTGATCGAGACCAAGCTCTTCAACAAACCTGTCGCACAACTTAACCACCGAACCTGGCTCATTCACTGGGCTTTGTTCCCATTCTTCAACCACGAACCCGCTCGTGATGTTATCTGCGACCTTTTCTTCTCCCCAGCATTCATCAACACCATCCAAACCGCCTGCCCATGGATCCTTAGATATTTGACTGCTGCAGTCATTACCAACCGCAACCGTACACGCAACACTGGTCAATATCAAAAGCAACTTAAAGATATTATCCGTATTGTCAAGCAAGAAAACTACGAATACTCGGACCCAGTTACCGATTTTATCAAGGCTTTATACCTTGACTTTGATTTCGAAGAAGCCCAAAAGAAGCTCTCTGAAGCCGAAGAAGTTCTCCGTTCCGATTTCTTCCTTGTTGCAGCCTCTGAAAACTTTGTTGAGGCCGCAAGACATTTGATTAGTGAGAGCTACTGCAAGATTCATCAAAGAATTGATATCAAGGATTTGAGTGCAAGATTGGGCTTGAACCAAGATGAGGGTGAAAAATGGATCGTCAACCTTATCAGAGATACTAGAGTTGACGCCAAGATTGATTATAAGGAAGGAACAGTTGTCATGAACCACCCACCAAGCAGCGTATACCAACAAGTAATTGAGAGGACAAAGGGAGGATTTTTCAGAACACAAGTTCTGAGTGCGGCTGTTGCGAAGTAAGGAGAATCTACTCTCACTCCAAGGGATTAGGGGGAAGTTAAGAACGTGGAAGCTGTTATCTGGGTCTCTGATAATGGGTTAGATGGGATCACGCATACTGAACGATGTATATGGTCGGTCTGCTACGATCTGGTCTGGTCTGCATGGCTGTAGGCTGGCTGGCGTTTGGATTGGGGAAAATAAATAGCAAAAATGGATGAGAATGAAATGACATAGTAGAATGATTGATTCAGTTTCAATTTTAGCTGTGCCCGATTGTCAACAGAATGATATTTGGATGGTGACCATGAGGCAAGACCCAGGTACATAGCAGATACTGAGGATAAGAGAAGATAAATATATTTAGAGCGAATGACTCCTTCATTTCGTTGCTTGTATGCACATATGAAGTTTCTGGATCCTTTTTTTGCGGGGTGAACTAACTACTGCTGGATTCCATTTGCATTTCTCTTTTCTCTTTGCATATTAAATCTATATATTCGATTATTCTAACAAGTGGACTAGCTGTCGCATAGAGGTATAAATCATGAGGTAGTCCTTATGCTTCCATTTCCTTCTAAAGATCTTCACAATGGGATTTTTCTTGAGCATGGCTTTAAGTTTCGAGTTATGGCGGATGGATGAATGAATACATTGATAATGTAGGCATCACGAAGCGGCCAAAGTCAAGCGCATGCATAACAAAACCATGCTAGCGAATTATCGTACCAAATACTCCTATGAAAAGAAGACACAAATAGAACAAAGCCCTTCGATTCTTTCATTTATTTCGGTCGCATTGTGTGATGATAATGGAGTAGATGGTTCTTTGATTTTCGAACAAGGGATATTGAAGCACAATGGGGTTGTGAGAACAATGCTCTTCTTTACTTATAATGGGGCTCCCCGCGGGACATTTTCTTCTTCTTATTCTTCTGATGAAAATATAGCTTCTCTGGAATACGAACTTGATTTACTGTTTTACTGTTTATTTTTGCTTATCTAGGTACTATCGCATACTACATACATACTTCACACACTGCATCCATCCATCACACTATCTACCGAACACGATTTACATTTGTACATACGAACTACACACATACACATACACAAAGCGCAAAACGAATCAACCAACCAATCCTCATCCAATATGCCAAAACACACACCCCGTCTTCCAGGTCAACCTCTTCAAGAACGTCCATGGGCAGAACCACATATTCCGGAAATGCTAAGTAGAACATTATTCCGTGAACCAACTCTAGCTCGTAGACAACGACAGGCTCAGGTACAAGCACAGGCACAGGCACAGGCGCAAAGACCACAAGTAAGTATACAAACAATCAAAGAAACATACCCGCTTGTCCATCCCCCTACCCCCATCTACAGCGTATCACCAGAGTCAGAACTGCGACTCCAGGGTATAGTATCCCCTGTATCCCCCTTGACTCCCCAGACCCAAGTCCAATCTCAAGGTAACATCGAAGGTAACACTCAACACCCATCTCTAGAAATAATCCTCGAACCCGCAACTCCCTCCTCCGAACTCCAACCTATGGCCCACTGGTACTTCCACGACCAAGCCGCAAACCATTATCCGGAAAAACATGTTTCGATTAGTACGTCTTCGGCTTATACTACGTTGCAGCTTTCGCCTCGTGCGACGGAGGTTTTTGCTGGAGAGGAGCAGGGATTGGGAATGGGAAAGGGTGTTTGGGGAGCGGGGAGGAGTGTGATGGGGAGCGGGGAGGAGTGTGAGGAGGAGTGTTAAGAGGGTTGGGGTTTGGTTGAGGGAAAGGG